TTTGGTGGATTTCTTTTTTTTTTTATTTTTTTTGAGACACAGTATCACTCTGTTGCCCTGGGTAGAGTGCCATGGTGTCAGCCTAGCTCACAGCAACCTCAAACTCCTGGTCTCAAGCAATCCTCCTTCCTCAGCCTCCTGAGAACCTGGGCCTACAAGCATACACCACCACGTCCGGCTAATTTTTTCTATTTTTAGTAGAGATGGGGTCTCACTGTTGCTCAGGCTGGTCTCGAACTGCTGAGCTCAAGGGATCCTCCCACCTTGGCCTCTCAGAGTGCTAGGATTACAGGTATGAGCCACCACACCTGGCCAACTTGGTGGCTTTCTGATTTTCTGAAAGAGGAATTTGGAGCCATTGTAAGCTTTCAAGAAGTAAAGTATTGTGACCACAAACATGGCCTATAATCCCACGTACACCAGAGGACCACTTCAGCCCAGCAGTTTGAGGCTACAGTGAGCTATGATCGTGCCACAACACTCCAGCCAGAGGTAGGGACAGAGTGAGAGACCCTGTCTCAAAAAAATAAAATAAAATAAAGGGTAGAGTTTGTGTCTGGTTCATTTGAGCAGAGAAAGGCTGGAGATGGCGCAGACAGTCAACTGACCAGTACCGGATCTAGGATGTCAGGTGGCTGTGGCATGACCAAGGGTACAGCGGAGCTATGACAATAACAGCAATAAAGTGGCATAAGGGAAGATGCCTCAGGGCTTGAGGCAGGTGAATTATGGGGGCCCAGGAGAGACTGACTAAAGGAGGGCGTGGGAGCCAGGAGTCAGGTGGGGTCGATGGTCAGAGGCCAGGGAATAAGGGACATCCCTGATGCGAAGACTATGCCTCATTCTCCCACACCTGGGTCAGTTTCTGTTTCTATCGGGTGCTCACTTGTGTCCAGTGTGACCGGAAAGCCCCTGTTATTTTAGATCGGGATTCCTGGAAACAAGGCTGTGGGACTCTGAGATTAGCATGCAAGAGATTTAAATGGGGACACCTGCAAGGGCTTGAAGGAGGCAGGATTGGGCAGTAGGAAACGTCGAACTGCAATGCAGTTGCAACAGAGGCCTCAGCTAATCTTAGGGAGCTCTGGAGTAGCAATGGCCCTTCAGAGTTGTCCCAAATCTAAACAAGGGGGCAAGTGCTTGGATCCCTCAGTATCCAGTCACTGACTACGAGCTGCCCCCAGGGAGGACGATTCCTGAAGGGAGGTCAGCTGAGAGCGCTCAGCGGCCAACACCGGTGATAAGTGCAGCTGGTAGAGTGAATGCTTCAGCCCTGAGCAGGCGGTGTGTGGACAGCGCCCCACAGCGCCCCCATAGTCTCCTGGAGCCCAGTGAAGGATGGCAGCTGACTCATCGTAATTGTGCTTGGGTCTCCTCTTTCCCTGCTTGGCTGCACTCCCCACTCCCACGTATTCACTTAAACTGCCAAAAACCCTACTCCCCGCTCCCTGAACATACCGCGCTGACACCACCCTTGCCTTTCCGTACGCTTTTTCATCAGCTTGGAAAGTCCTTCTTTCCTTCCTTGCATCAAAATCATGCTTCTCCTACAAGGTCTACTTTGAAAGCTAATTGTATTATGGAAATTTGAAATTGAATCAATTTCTTTTTCCTCTGGAGTCCCAAATAATCTTTTTTGTGACTCTATTATCATATTTGTCTTGCAGTTAATCTTGGTTAGTGTTTTCCCTTTATCAGATTGTAAATTCCACTAGTGCAGAACTGACTACTTCATCCTTTTATCCTCTCCATAATCTAGCACTCTGCTTGGTACAAAATAGGCATTCAACACACAGGAATTAATTGCATCAAATAGTTCCAAATTGTTATGAGAGGTTCTTGCACAAGATCTTCCTGAAGGGCTG